CTTCCCAACCGCTGGGTGTGGGCCACCCAGAGGGAGTAGACTGAGTGGCTCCACTCGGTTAGGAGCTTGACCAACTCGCGCACGGGGCTCCTCGACTGCCCCCCACCGAGACGGCGGGTGGAGTAAGTGGGATTCGGGTGCGCAGTACGTGGTGGGAGAGTCGGTAGCGAGAGGCTGCGAGCACCGCCTCCGTCTGTGCATTCCTGCGGGGGCGGAGCGAGCCCCGTGCTGCCCTCGGCCGTTGCTGTGGGCGGGTTGGAGCTTGCGGCTGGCACTGGGCTGTTTGGGGAAAGATGCGCCGCCATGTCGTAGATGTACCAATCTTCTGAATTCTCGCTAGTGGCTGCCCTCGTGGGGGGGGGCCAGGGTACATGTCGTTAGAGCATTGGTCCAGTGCACGGCCAAGGGCGCTAGGGGCAGTGTCCCAGATGTGCACCAGGCACCTCCTGCAGGCCCAGCTGGCATTCCAATATTCCTTGGCCCACAGTGAAGGCATTGCTTCCCACGGAGGGAGACCTGTCACGGCATTGCAGTCCGCGCCCGACTCTGCGCGCCAAATGAAACAGCCCAATGCGGGCGCGCCTGCCGGCCATTCCAGCAAGGGGGAAACGGGAGGCAAGGAGTCACAGGTGGCTGAGTAGCACTTGTTCAGGTGCGCCTCAGTACCGAATCTGCCGTCGGTGAGCCTGTGTGGCGGGAGTGTGGCACCCACGCTGGCTGGGTGGTATTGGCGAGTCGTACATAGGACGAGCTCCTTGAGGGTTGGGGCAGCAGTAACTGGCGTCTAACTCCCAGCGGGAGTCGGCCTAAGGAGGGGAGTGTCCTGGCCCTTTTCTGAGCGCGGTTCTCGTCCAGTCTGCGCTTGTGCTCCTGTAGTAACCACTGCATGGACTTCCTGCAGTTGCGCTCTGTCGCGTCGGGTTCGGGGAGGAGCACCCCTTCCTTCTCCAGCGAGCTGGCCCAGCATTGCTGGCAAAGCAATCTGCAGTTCTTGCCCTCCGCGCACGCCGGCGCACGGTTCTGAGCTAGAAGCTCCCCCGTGTAGTCGTCTTCCCAAGTGCCTGCTGTACCACTTAGTCCGACACTGCTGCATCCGTCGCAGTTGTAGGTGGCGTTCTTCTGCTGTCTGCAGAAGCGCCCGCCGCGCACGAACGGGGGGAAAAGTGGGGTCCTTGAGGCCGGGGGGGCCAGGATGTCCTCGTCGAGTCGGTGGTTGGAAAGTGCGATCCCTCCCCCGATGTACTGGAGGTCGGCCATGGTACCAGGGCTGCCCAGTCCAATCTCTGACCCCGCCAAGCTCGCGTGCAACTGGCTTGTGGAGCCCCCCACCCCCTGCTTAGCTGAGTGACGTCGTCAGCTGGCCGAACCAGAGTCTCCAGTATGCGTAGGGGAGCCCCCTGGGTGAATTTGTGCGCCTGCATCGCTGCCCACGTCTTGGGACAATTGTGCTTGCCAGCAACCTCGTGGTGATGGGCGACTGTGGCCAAGGTGCTAGCGTGGTGTATGACCTACGCTAGTTTGGCGTGGAGGGTGGCAAGGTCCGTAAGCTTGAATCCCCACGTCTCCGCGAACTGGGTGCGGAACTCCTTGTGGGCCTCCTGCCATGGAAGGCACAGGCCCATCATGGCCTCCAGAATGTCACCTGTGGCCTCAGGATACGGGAAGGGCCAGAGTGTGGCGCGGGGCTCGCGTAGCTGTAGCATCATGACCACCAGCAGCACTCTGAGCGCGGGGGGGTTGAGGGGCTGTTTGTCGTCACCTACCAGCGTCTGAATGAAATCAGCGTCGCTCTTACCGGACTGAAGCAGGGCATGCAAATTCTCCATTCCTGGGTGCTCCCTGTGTCGTCTGCCCGGGCAGGTGGAGCTGCTCCAGGCCGCGGAAAACTGTGGGAGCGTGTCCTTGGGAATGCCGCGGCTGGAAGCCTTGGGGCGGCCGTTGCACCCGACCTTGTGGGGAAGCGGTGGGAGAGACTCTTAGGCAACGCCCAGCTGCTCGTCGAACCACGGCGTGCCCAGTCCAAGAAACCAAACCAGGGCAGCCCACGTGAGGTTGTACACGAGGTTGCTAGCGTCAATTCCAACCTCCACGTCCATGCAATAGCCAAGGTGACTCCAGGCTTTCCTGTCCAAGCTGCCGGGCTGCCTCGGAGTGGCCCCCATTTGCCACTGGTGGGGGTGCAGTCCGGACACGGTGTAAAAAAGAATGGTCATCATACGGTCGTCCACCAACTTCTTTAAGCTATCCGAGAGAGCGGCACTCAACTTCTCCCAAGAGAACTGGGGATCGAGCGGCGCGGCGATGCGGTCTGCAAAGCTGCTCTCCATTCTAGCCTTGGCCTTCTTGATGGCGTCGTCCAGGCCCTTTACGCTGTCGTCTCCTGTGTGTGGGGGCAGCGGGAATCCATGACTCAAGGTCAGAGATGGGGTCGAACTCCTGGTCCGTGTGCAGCGTGGTTCTGCTGCCCAGGTTGTCTCCCTGAAAGCGGACCCATAGCTTGGCCATCCTCCCGTACTCGGAGAGTTCCCTGAGGTGTGCTCCGGTGGCGGTGCTGCACATCCTTCCATCCCCGATTATGACCACGTTGGAGGTGGCCCGCGTGATGGCGACGTTCACCCTGTTGGGGCTGTCCATAAAGCCCCAGTCGTGCCAGAAGTTGGAGCGTGTGGTGAGGTAGATCACCAAGTCAGCCTCCCCACCTTGGCTCGAGTCAATGGTGGAAATGGTGAGTCTGCCGTTGGCGAGGTACTCCTCCGCAGCTGGTGGGGTTACGCGAAGCGTCTAGAATTGCTGAACAATTACTCCCCGTGATTACCATCCCTCTGTCCGTCCTCTTTCCTCCCCGAGACCACGGCCAATTTGGCCTGGGTGTGCCAACAGATGCGAAGTTGATAGATGCCGGATATTCATGCGTTGCAGTAAAAGCTACGAGGTTCAATGGTACGACTAACTACAATGAAAACATATGTCGCGTCCACCTTCTTTGCCCCCTCTCCAGCTCTCCGTGACTGGAAGGCCCACTGAAACGACCCGAAACAATCGAGATTGATGCGCGCACCACCGATGATGAACAGAGCTCCCGGATCCCAACCCTCTCCTCCTCCTCCTCCTCCTCCTCCTCCTCCTCCTCCTCCTCCTCCTCCTCCTACTCCTCCTCCTCCTCCTCCTCACTCTCCTACTCCGTACTGTTCATCCTCATCATCCGCTTCATCCTCCACATCCTCGAAGTCGCCAGACGAAAAACTGGTGCAATGATCTCACTTCGTAGACACTTATCACAACGGTGACGACAACGGCGAACAGACCACGTGATCTCAGCGTTCACCCGGAGCGTAGCGCTGCGGGCTTCTTGAAAGTGAGACGTGTAAAGCCAGCACGAGGCTTCGACCGACTGTAAAAACAGCTCGAGCCCAGAGAGCTGACTCGAAAGCAGCTCGAGCTCAGCTGGTGGCGAGAACTGCGAATTACTGTCACAGGCCTTGCAAATGCCCCGAAGCGCGAAGAAAGTGCGCGAATCCGAATGGCGTTTGCGGCGCGGCCGGGAGTGGAGGGTCCCTTCAGGACCTCTGCTGGAAACTGTGCGTGCCAGCAACAAAAAGAACAACGACACCTTCCGACAAACGGCATTGAGCCGTGCGCGCAGCTCTCTAACAGGATGCAATGAACACACTCACACACACAGACACACACACACACACACACGCGCGCGCTTTTCGCTTCCTGTCCACTTGGTCCAACTCAGCGAAAGCGTTAATTGGCGGGTCGATGGAGCAACTGGCGAGCGGTTGCCATTGCAGAAAATAAGATGCACGACTGCCAGGCACAGTGAAAACAATTTTCTCCGAGGCCAATTGGTCCAACTCAGCGAGGCGGATAGCGTGGCTCGCTAAGAGTTATTACCACCGATCCTTGACGATCGGAGGCAGCCGCCGAACGGTTGCGCGTGCGGAGAAAGGGGGATGACAGTCAGGCGATGAACACACACACACACACACACAAGCACGCTCAGCTGGATACGCAGGTGGAGCATCAGGAGGCCACGCGGCACGAAGGCCGCGGCGACGGAGATGCGTGCGGCGGCACGTGCACCCAGCCCTCGCCCAGGCGGGGCGCATCATGTGCACGCTGCTTCCTGGTAGAGCGCGGCGCACCGAAACGGGGCGGGGGCGGGGGGAGAGAGCGGGCCCGGGCGCAGGGAATCGCAGGAGGTCCAGTTGAGACCGCGGCGGCCCTCCCGCCCGGCCCAGATCCGCTCAAACATCGGTCCCAGGACCCCTCCCCGAGTTCACAGAGGCCTCCTAGATGGGGTCCGAGCAGATGGGGCCCGAGGATCGCGCCGCATCACCGATACATCGGCCATGCACTGGCGACGTCGGCGATACATCGGCGACGTCTGCGTGGAGGAAATCGGGCTCCGCATCGAGCCGCATCGCCGATGCATCGGCGATGCGGCGCGATCCTCCGACCCCATCCGCTGCGACCCCAGCTGGCGGGCCTAGAGTTCATCCTGACGCGTCTTTCGAGGCGAATCCGGCCGTGGCGACGAGGAGGCCCCCAGGGGGTACGGAGGAGGAGGAGGAGGAGGAGGAGGAGGAGGAGGAGGAGGAGGAGGAGGAGGAGGAGGAGGAGGAGGAGGAGGAGGGGGGGCCGCCGCTGCCTCGACCGGCGGCCCTCCCCCGAGGGCGGGGGGCCTCGGCCCCAAGAGGCCGAGGGGCCCCACAGCAGGCGTCCGCGCGAGCGGACGGCAGGGCGGAGCCGCTCGGCCGCGGCATCGCGGCCTCAGGCCAGCGAGGGCAGGGACAGCGGCGCTGGTCGGCCACGCGCAGGAGGGGGTAAGGGGGGAGGGGGGTGAAGGCTCCTCAGAAGCGCTCCTGGCTCCTCAGAAGGCGCGGGCCTCCTCTGCAGATGTGAGGCCGGCGCCTCCTGAGCAGCAGCCTCCCTCTCAGAAGCCCCCCCCCCTCCCCCCTGATGACCCCCCCGTGCGCGCCGCCGAGCTGGGCCCCGCGCGGCGGCGGCCGCGCGCGCGGGCGCGACCGCGGACGCGCTCCTGGCCATCGCCGCGCCCACGCGCGCGGCGGCGCCCACGCCGCAGGCCGGCAGCGAGGTGTCGCGCGCCAGGCCTGCGCCCCGGCGCGCCGCCCTCGGAGCCTCGCCGCCGCGGCGGCTGGCCTCGGAGGGCGGGTGCCGCGCGGGCCCACCGGCGAGGCCGTCGTCCGGGCCGCCCGGGGCCCGCCAGGACTCGCCGAGGGTGCGGCCCAGCTTCGCCCTCGCGCGGCCGTCGGCCTCCAGCTCCCGCTGCTGCCACTTCAGGATCGTGTCCTGGCGAGGTCCGTCGGCATCGGCGCGGGAGAGTGGCTCTCGGATCGGGCTGTGCGCCGGCTGAAGGATGCATCGGAGCGGAGTCGAGATCGAAGCCGGCCGGCCGCGACGGGATGCACAGCGCCACACAGGCATCGGGCCGCGCCGGAGATCGACGAAAACATCGGGATCGGATCGGGTCGGGCCGGCCGAGTTCGATATCATCGATAGCGGATCGGATCGATCGGATCCAAATCGACCCTATTCGGTGACTCAAAAGGGTGTAGTTCGCACAGGGTGTGGTTTGCAACCCGCGCCTGGGGGTGCGGGCGAGGACCTCGACAGAGATCTCTGCTGCGCCCCGACGAGGGCTCACCAAACATCTGGCGCACCGTGTTGACCCCCAAGCCCCAGCAACGCCGATCGCAAACCACACCCCGGCGTACAGTAGGGGCCCGACTACAAGAAACCTTCCGCAAAGAACCCAACCCTGAGACCCCAGGGCGTCCGTGGATGTTTGGTGTTGGAACGTCGCGCTTTCCATCGCAAAACCATCGAAATCCAAGACACCCAGGGTACCCTGGAGGCAAGCAGGGCGTCTCTTGGCATGGTTCTCTAACCACACCCAGTATCCACTCCTTCTCCTCTCCTCCTCCTCCTCCTCCTCCTCCTCCTCCTCCTCCTCCTCCTCCTCCTCCTCCTCCTCCTCCCTCCGCCTCCTCCGCCTCCTCCTCCTCCTCCCTCCTCCTCCAAATCATCCTCCTCCTCTTCACATGCATCATCATCCCGCGTCAAAATGAATCCGCCTCCTGCTCATCCTCCTCCTCTTCCTCCTCCTCCTCATCATCATCATCAGCAGCATCAGCATCATCATCACCACCATCATCAGCATCACCATATCATCATCATCATCATCATCATCATCATCATCATCATCATCATCATCATCATCATCATCATCATCATCATCATCATCATCATCATCATCATCATCATCATAATCAGCAGCAGCAGCAGCATCAGCAGCAGCAGCATCATCATCATCATCATCCTAATCATCATCGTCATCATCATCATCGTCGTCGTCATCATCATCACCACCACCACCATCAGCAGCAGCAGCAGCATCACCATCACCATCATCATCACCATCACCACTATCATAATCATCAACAACAGCATCAGCATCATCAGCATCAGCATCATAATCCGCATCATCATCATCATCATCATCATCATCAGCAGCAGCAGCATCAACAACATCAACATCAATATCAACATCAACATCAACATCATCATCGTCTGCCTCCTCCTCCTCCTCCGTAGCCATTTTGGCTCTAGCCGTCGACCTGTCCTGGTACATGCTGTGGGACGGCCCAAGCCAAGCCACGAGGGCGTCGCCGCCCTCCTCGCCGCTGTCGCCGACCGCCTTCACAGGGGAGGCAGACCGCTCCTCCCTCCACCGGGCGGCCCTCTGGAGCTTCTCCTCGAACTCCTCCGCACGGCGGTCCACCTTGGAGAGAGAGAAAGAGAAGCAGTGCACGTCAGGGGTGCGCTGGCAAAAGGGGCTGAAACAATACCGACCGGCGGTGCGAAGCCTCCTGCGTCGCCGGCTCCATGCACAGGGAAGGCTTACAACCTTCATCGTTCATACCCCACTCGCCGAAATTGCCCGCAGGTGGACGACCCAGGAGAGCAACCGCAGCAGGGAGGCAGAGGAGGGAACGACCCCCGGGGGCGATGACCAATGGGGTGCACGAGGACACACCAGGACGGTGCGCCTGTTTTGGAGACGCACGGCCGACCCGAGCATACATTTGTGTACACACATATGTATATATATATATATATATATACATACATATATACGTACTAGAATTATCGCGCGCTTCGCGCGCCTTCAGAGTCTAGCAGGCCCCAGACCTTGACGAATTCATTGCTCCACTGAAGTAGTGGACCACAGTCCACGCATGCCAATCTGCATTCCGAAAGGCTTTTTGAGGAAAATGGTTGTGTAGGGGGGCGGAGGCCGTATGAATCGGATTCCCAGAAGGCCTTCTGGGCGCATGGTTTTGGGGGCGTCTTGGGAAGCCTGTTGGGGCGTGCCGTCGTCGTCGTCGTCGTTTCGTCGTCGTCGTCGTCGGTTCAAGAGGGCACTTGGGGCAACTTTGTGCGAAACGATCTGCGGAGGGCCACGAGAAGGCGATCAATCAGTCATGTTCCCAATCAACTTCCAAGACAGCTCTCCTGTAGCATGATTCGAACCCTCCGGAATCTCACGGGCCCATGATGAAAAATGTCCCCTGAAGGCTTTCTGGGGACATGGTTTGTTGGGGTGTGTTGGGGGGTCTCTTGGGCGTTCCCTGGGGGCCCCTTGGGGGCCTCTGGGAACTCTCCTTCCCTGCATGATGAACCATGTCCCCGGAAGGTTTTCTGGGCACATGATTTCTTGGGGTGTGTTGGGGGGCCTCTTGGGCGTTCCCTGGGAGCCCCTTGGGGGACTCTTGGGGCTTCCTGTACGCGCCTCACGGGGCTTCGTGGGAGCCTCTTGGTGGCCTCCGGGGGCCTAGAGGCGGACTCTAGGGCCAGAGACCTCGAAATATCGGTTGGCGGTCCCCCTCTGGGCCCTCTCTTCGGGAGCTCTTGGGGCACAGTTGGGTTGTCTGGGGAGCCTCCTGGGCCGTCTTGGGGCCCTCTTCCGGGCCTCGTGGCCCGTCTTGGAGCGATCTGAAGGGCCTCCGAGCGAGGCCGTGAGGGAGCGCTGGGAAGCGGGGGAAGCGAGAACGCCTAAATCCTTCAAAAACCATATGAAAATTAGTGAATCTTGCATCCCAGGGCCCTCTTGGGGAGCCTCTTGAGTCCGTCCTGGAGCGTGGTGGAGTCCTCGCAGGCCGTCTTGAGGGTACCTTGAGCGTCTTCGGGGCCTCTTGGGACCGTCCAGGGCCCGCTCGGGACCTCCATTAGCCTGTCGTGGCCTGCTTCGGGGCGGGCCCAGGCCGCCTCGGGACCCCTCTGGGCCTTCTCTTGGCGCGCTCTTGGGGCACACTTGGGTTGTCTGGGGAGCATCCTGGGCCGTCTTGGGGCCCTCTTCTGGACCTCGTGGGCCTTCTTGGAGCGATCTGAAGGGCCTCCGAGGCCGTGAGGGAGCGCTGGAAAGCGGAGAAAGCGAGAACGCCCAAATCCAAAACATTCGGAAAACGAGCGAGTCTTGCCTTCCAGGGCCCTCTTGGGGAGCCTCTTGAGTCCGTCCTGGAGTGTGTTGGAGTCCTCGACGGCCGTCTTGAGGGCATCTTGGGCGTCTTCGGGGCCTCGTGGGACCGTCTTGGGCCCTCTCGGGACCCCCTTAGCCTGTCGTGGCCTGCTTCGGGGCGGGCTCGGGCCGCCTCGGGAGCTCTGGACCCCCCCGCAACCCCCGGTGGGCACCGATTGGGGCAACAGGCAGCGGCCCGCCCCCGCCCCCCTGGGCCTACTCTGAGATAGAGAATCATGTTCCCAGGAAGCTTTCCAGGAGCATGATTTGTTCGGCTCTCTAAGAGGGGGGCCTCTGGGGGCTTACCGAGGGGCGCCTTTTGGCCTTGTCGGCAAGCCCATTGGAAACGTGGCTGGGGCGGTGGGCGGAAGCCCACGGAATCATGTTCCTGGAAAGCTATCTGGGAAATACGATGTACCGATGTGTCTTGGGGGCCCGCAGGGGGCTTCCCTGGAGGCCCCTTGGGGGCCTATTAGGGCTTCCGGGGGGCCTCTTGGAAGCCTCACGGGGCTTCTTGGGAGCCTCTTTATGGCCTCCGGGGGCGTCCTAGGAGCCTCTCAGGCCGGAGACCTTGAAATGTCGCGCTCTTCGGGCCCTCTTGGGTCGCTCTTGGGGCTCTCTTGGGGCGAAGCCCTCTTGACTTATCTGGGGCCGTCTCTGGGCTTTCTTGGGAGCCTCTTCGGCCGTCTTGGAGCGATCCGAAGGGCCTCTGACGCGGTCCGGGACCGTGGGGAGGCGGAACATGGGAGAGCGCAAGAATGCTTCAAAAATGCATGATTTTCGGCTTCTGGGGCCCTTTGGAGGGGCCTCTGGAGGCGCTCTTGGGGCGTTTGGCGGCGTCGGCGGTCGTCCTGGTGCCATCTTCGGCGTGTCGGGGGCCTCTGGGGGCTGTCTGTGGGCGTCCTGGGAACCCGGAAATCATGATTTCGAACGAGGCCCTCTTGGGCATCCTGGAGGCCGTCTCGGAGGCCTCATGGGCCAGCTTTGGAGCCTCTTGGGCCGTCTTGGAGTGTTCCACGAGCCCCACGGGACAACCCTTTTGGGCCGTCTTGGACCCTCTTGGGTCTCTCTTGGGCTGTGTTGGGGCTCCTCAAACGCGTCTGGGGCACTGCGAAGACGAAGCAAGGGAGTATGCTGAATATGTACATTTTACTACGGGGACGGGCTGATTTTGCCTCTTGAAGGCCCTCTTGGGGCCCTCTTCGGCCATCTTGAAGCCATCTCGGGCCCTCTTGGGACTCGCTGAGGCTGTCCTGGGGCCCTCTAGGGGGCCCTGGGAACCCCGAAATCATGTTCCCGGAGAGGCTTCCGGGAACATGACTTCGAACGGGGCCCTCTTGGGCCTCCCTGAGGCCGTCTTGGGGGCCTCCTGGGTCGGCTTCGGGGCCTCTTGCGCAGTCGAGGGGGGTTCCGGGAGACCCACGGGACGACCATTTTGGGCCGTCTTGTGCCATCAAGGGTCTCTCTTGGGGCGTCTTGAGGCTCCATGGGGCGTCTGGGGCACTGTGAAGACGAAGCAAGCGAGTATGCTGAAAATGTATGTTTTACGACGGGGACTGGCTGATTATTGCCTCTTGAAGGCCCTCTTGGGGCCCTCTTCGGCCATCTTCAAACCATCTCGGGCCCTCTTGGGCCCCACTGAGGCTGTCTTGTGGGCCTCTTGGGCGTCCTGGGAACCGGGAAGTCATGTTCCCGGAGAGGCTTCCGGGAACATGACTTCGAACGGGGCCCTCTTGGGCCTCCCTGAGGCCGTCTTGGGGGCCTCCTGGGCCGGCTTCGGGGCCTCTTGGGCCGTCATGGGGGGGTCCGTGAGCCCCAGAGGACGACCCTTTCGGGCCGTCTTGGGCCCTCTTGGGTCTCTCTTGGGCTGTGTTGGGGCTCCTCGGGGGTGTCTGAGGCACTGTGAAGACGAAGCAAGCGAGTATGCCCGATGTTGGCCTCTTGAAGGCCCTCTTGGGGCCCTCTTCGGCCATCTTCAAGCCATCTCGGGCCCTCTTTGGGCCCTCTTGGGCCTCGCTGAGGCTGGCATGTGGGCCTCTTGCGCGTCCTCGGAACCCAGAAGTCATGTTCTCGGAGAGGCTTTAGGGAACATGATTTCGAACGAGGCACTCTTGGGCCTCCCTGAGGCCGTCTTGGGACCCTCCTGGGCCGGCTTTGGGGCCTCTTGGGCCGTCCCGGGAGGTTCCGTGAGCCCCACAGGACGACCCTTTTTGGCCGTCTGGGACCCTCTTGGGTCTCTCTTGGGCTGTCTTGAGGCTCCGCGGGGGCGTCTGGGGCACTGTGAAGTCGAAGCCAGCGAGTATGCTGAAAATGTACGTTTCACGACGGGGACGGGCTGATTTTTGCCTCTTGAAGGCCCTCTTGGGGCCCTTGTCGGCCGTCTTGAAACCATCTCGGGCGCTCTTGGGGCGCTCTTGGACGTCTTCGGGGCCTCTTCAGGCTTTCTTGACCATCTGTACCTCCCGCGTGGCCTGTCGTGGGCAATTTGGAAGCGGCCCGGGGCAGTCCCAGGGGGTCTGTGACCCCCCAAAGGTTCGGGGGGGGGCATGGGGGATGACGGCATCGATTTTGGCCCCCCCCGGCCTACTCATATTCCTCTTCCTATATTATTGTAAGCCCGGGCGGGGGGAAAACCCATCACCCCTCCCCCCAAAAACCAGACTCCCGGGACCTGGGGCTTTGGGGCCCTCCGGACGGGGCTCGGAGCGGCCACCGGGCCTCGCAAGGCGTTTAGCCAAGCCTTCCCGGCAGTTCAGGGAGACGGCGGTTGGAGGCAGGGTGGCCCGAGGAAGCCCCCAGAGGCCCCCAGAATACGCCCAGGAGGCCTCCAGAAGGCGTTAAGAAAGCCTGAAACAGCTTTTGTGAGGCCCCTAGAGGCTCTCCAAGGAGGAGCCTCCGCAAAAAAGAGCTGAGGAGGATGGGGAGAATGCGCAGGGTATGGCGAAAATAAGGAACAATAAGCATGGAGGAAGGATAACGAATAACATCATTATAGCGGCAATGCCAGAAAAAGCAATCAGGAGTCATCGCTAAAGTGTCGGCTTGACCTTGCTGTCATTCCGCCTGCATACCAAACTTCAAGGACCAAGGTGCATGGCGCGAAGCGCCACTGCAGTCTTGTATATATATATATATTACAACATCTTGTCGCATATCTTGGTCACCCCGGATTCGCGGATCGTCCTCACGACTCGGTTTTCGCCGGAATGGACCATGATCCAGATCGGCGTCGGCAAAATCCCGCGGCATGTTGGCCGTGTGGGATGACGGCACCGATTTTGGCCCCCCTGGCCTACTCACATATATATATATATATATATATATATGTATATATATATATATACACATTACAGCATCTTGTCGCATATCGCTTCCCTAGCCTTATGGCCAGACAGCGCCCGCCACGAAGCTCATACTGTAGCACTTCCGAGCGTGCGCGACGCCCTTGCGTGGCCGACGCACACCTGGTGTCAGTGCGTTTGGGTGGTGCCGAACCCAGGCCAAACGCAGAAAAGTCGGTGCCGAATTTGATCCTCGTCCATCTTGGTCACCGCGGATTCGCGGATCGTCCTCACGAATCGGCGTTCGCCGGAATGGACCATGATCCAGATCGGCGTCGACAAAATCCCGCGGCATGTTGGCCATGGTCAGCGTGCTTCGTCCCCCCAAACCTGGCGTACCTCGTCGCGCTCCAGCTCCCGCCTTGCGCGGAGCATCTGGTTTCGCCTCTTGCGCGCCTCCTGCGCCCGCACGTGCGTCGCCTGGCACAGTCGGTCCTGCTTCCGGGTGCTGCAGGCCTAGGAGGGGGGCAAGCAGCTGCACGAGCATGACACATCGGAGGTCCGAGCAGACTTCTGGGATCGGCGCTGGGATCCGCGCCGCACGCGCCGCCAGGATGCTCCAGCGCCGACCCCCGGGAAGCTGGAAGCGAAAAACGGCGCAACATAAACTTCTTGAGGTCCGCGCGGGTTTCGTGGATCTGCGCCGGATCACCTTCCTGGCTCGTGGAGCGCGCCAGGGGCGGCGCAGGAGGCGGCGCCAGGGGGGCACAGTGCCAGTCCAAGACATCCTCGTGGACCTCCGAAAGTTGATGCTTTATGCCATTCCAAAAGCAACGCTTGCCATGAGGGACTCTTATTAGTATTACGATTGATCGTATTAACAGTACTCTCAATAGTATAATTTCTATGTATATCATTTGCATCGTTAAAAATATTATTAGCACTCGTAATACTAGTCGTCCTCGCGCCCTCGCGCCCTCGCGTCTTCGCGCTGCCCACTCGGACCAAGGCCACAACTCTGGCACTCGGAAATCATGTTCCCGGAGAGGCTTCCGGGAACATGATTTCGAACGAGGCCCTCTTGGGCCTCCCTGAGGCCATTGGGGGCCTCCTGGGCCGGCTTTGGAGCCTCTTGGGCCGTCTTGGGGGGTTCCGTGAGCCCCAGAGGACGACCCTTTCGGGCCGTCTTGGGCCCTCTTTGGTCTCTCTTGGGCTGTCTTGGGGCTCCTCGGGGGCGTCTGGGGCACTGTGAATACGAAGCAAGCGAGTATGCTGAAAATGTACGTTTTACGACGGGAATGAACCGATTATTACATCTTGAAGGTCCTCTTCGAGCCCTATTCGGCCATCTTCAAGCACATCTCGGGCCCTCTTGGGCCTCGCTGAGGCTGTCTTGTGGGCCTCTTGGGCGTCCTGGAAACCCGGAAATCATGTTCGCGGAGAGGCTTCTGGGAACATGATTTCGAACGAGGCCCTCTTGGGCCTCCCTGAGGCCGTCTTGGGGGCCTCCTGGGCCGGCTTTGGGGCCTCTTGGGCCGTCTTGGGGGGTTCCGTGAGCCCCAGAGGACGACCCTTTCGGGCCGTCTTGGGCCCTCTTTGGTCTCTCTTGGGCTGTGTTGGGGCTCCTCGGGGGCGTCTGGGGCACTGTGAAGACCAAGCAAACGAGTATGCCGAAAATGTACGTTTTACGACGGGAATGGGCCGATTATTGCATCTTGAAGGCCCTCTTCCGGCCCTATTTGGCTATCTGCAAGCCATCTCGGGCCCTCTTGGGCCTCGCTGAGGCTGTCTTGTGGGCCTCTTGGGGCCCTCTTGGGCCTCGCTGAGGCTGTCTTGTGGGCCTCTTGGGCTGTCTCTGGGGCCTCTTGGGCCGTCTTGGGCGGGTTCGTGGACCCCACAGGACGCCCGGTGCTGCCATGCCAACCGGTGGCACCACCCCACCCCCGCCCCCGAACCTACTCTGATCTGTGTATATATGTGTATATATATATATATATAGAGAGAGAGAGAGAGATGCACCGCGTCCGTGCACAGCACAGGTTGCACCGAATTAATCGCACAACGTATCTTGCTAGAAACACACTGTTTGGGGTCCACGCTGGCTAATAGGTCTGTTCCCGAGAAATCCGCGCGGAACTCCGAATAGCTGTGTATGCCGATGTTACTTCACCGAAGGTCTCGAGACCGATACCACGATTCCACGGACCTCTCGAGAGGTACCTTCTGACCAGGATTTCGAGGCGAATCCAGCCGTGGCGACGAGGGCCTCCCAGGAGGCCAAAAGTGGCCAAACGCGATGGATCAGTAGCAGCGTCGACACCCTTCCCCACTCTGAGCCTCGATCTTCTCCAGCTTGAGCGAGTAGAGGTGCTGAGACTCCTCAGGCAACCACACGTGAACCCTACACCCGGAGCAAGATTTCTGAAACGCCGGGCTGAAGTAAGAGTTCGAAGGATGTCTGCAGCCATGTGAGCCCACGGCGGGCCCGCAAGGTTAGGGTCCGCAAGAGAGCGAGGAAAAGAACCGGGCCTTACGCAAAATGAAATACACCCTGCGAAATGCTTGAAAAATCATTAAGACGTTAAGAATAATCCAGACTCTGGCCGAAAACTTAAGTTTTCTCAAGCATCGCCTAAGGTGTGCCTGGCGACCTTACGCGGTGGCTCACGCGGGCCGCCAGCGCGGCACGCGACACTGGAAACGCGGGCGATGACGCGCGGCCCTACGCGGGAAGCCTACGAGCGAATGTCCGCGCAGTCGACCCCGCTGGCTTTCGTCGCTCCATTGCGTGGGGAGAGCAGGCGACCACGATCACATCGGGGACACGCCCTGGGGGGTGCCCTGCGCACGCCAACGCCAACAGTCGTCAAAGAGCACCGAAACCAGTCCTCCGGGGCGCCGCCCCCGTGGCCCTCCCCAGAGAGCCCCAAGAAGGGCCACGAGGCCGCCAAGAGCCCTCCAGGATGGTTCAAGGGTGCTCCGAGATGCCACACGATCGTTCCAAGACGCCCAAGATGGCCCCCAGACGCCCCAAGAGGCCTCCAAGAGCACTCCCCGGAGGGCCCCAAGAGGCAAAATTCATTACTTTTCCTTAGGTTTTGGGCAGATTTTGGCGTGTCCATCTTTTCGGCTTCCCGACGCCCCAAGACGGCCCAAGAGGCCTCCAAGATCGCCCCAAGAGGGCCCAAGAAGCTCCCAAGAAGGCCCCAAGATGGCCCAAGAGGGCTCCAAGACGGCCCCAGAGGCATCCAAGACGGCCCAAGAGGGGCCCAAGAGGGCCCCAAGCGATGCTCCAAAGAGAGAACACAAAACAAAACTTCGAGCCCTCGGCCCTTAAGAAGCCCCCAGGAGGCCTCAAGAGGCCCCTGAGAGGCCCCAAAAGCCCCCAAGAGGCCCTCAGGAGGCCCCCAAGCGACGCTGAAGAGGCCCCCCAGCGGCCCCAAGAGGCTCAGTCATGCGAAATGGGCCGGCGGAATGAGCGAAGCGATTCAATAACAAAAACAACAACAAACAAACAAAACAACGGAATTGAAGCTGTGTTCCAATTTGCTCTGCCCAGAATTTGGCCACAATCTCCTGCAGCAGCAGCTCCGCCTCACGTGAGGACACCAGAAGGTACCGATACAGCTACTCCCCGAACCTCTGCTGGAGCTCCTTCTGACCAGAATTTCGCGGCGAATCCTGCGGTGGCGACGAGGGCCTCCCAGGAGGCCCGAGAAGGGGAAAACGAAGCAAGGGCACGGTCAACCTTCATCAGAATGACGCACGATACTTGAGGATGCAAGGGCCCTGGACGGCCATGTCGACACTTTGCGGGCGGGACAAGGCCAGCAACGGCGGCCGAGCATGGGCCGAAGGGGTCTCTAACCATGGCAAGTCGCTCGTCCTTCCTGTGCGGGTGGACTGTAGCAGCATCGGTGTACCATTAGGTGGGGTAGGTCCCCCTACAGGCAAATTTTCAGGTGAAAAGTAGAAAACATCACAAAAGCTCAACAGAACTCAAAAATAGTCGAAACATTCGTCCCCTGACTATTTCAGACTATGTTTGAATATTCCTCCTGTAGAGGGACAGGCCCGAATTGAAGGTACTTTTTTGTCCTCTGAGCCTCGCGAGCGCGGAAATGCCGCACCCGCTCCTCTGGAGACCTCCCAGATGGGGTCCGAGCAGATGGGGTTGAAGGATCGCGTCGCATCGCCGATGCATCGCCGATACATCGGCGATGCATCGGCGACCCTCCGACCCAAACCTGCTCGGACCCCGTATCTGGGGGGCCCAGCTCCTCGCGCTGCCGGCGCCGCGCGATCTCGGCCGAGGCCCCGGCCATGCGCCGCTCGGCCGGGCTCAGCCCGGCGAGCGCCGCGGCCCGGGCGGCCCCGCCCGCGCCCGCGTGCACGCTGGAGCGGCGGCGCGCCGCGCCGGGCTGCACGGAGAGGCTCTCCTCGGGCGCGGCAGCGCAGGAGCGCCCCACGGCGCCCTCTCGACGAAGAGCTGCGCGCTCTCGCGCCGCCCCCCCGGGGGAGAAGAGGAGGACGAGGAGGGGTCGGACCCGGACCGCGAAGACGGAAGCGCGAATGACTTCGCGCCCTCGAGGGCGTCCTTGCAGAGAGTCGGGCGTTGGTGGATGGTTTTCTTATCGGGGGGAGCGAGGGCATGGAGCTGACAGCACCCCGACAAAGCACCACGGCGAAGCAATCCTGAGAGTACTGCCGACGCTGGCAAACTACACCGCACCACAAGCGACAGCGCTCCTGGAGCACGTTGCGTCAGGGATGCCTGGTGGGCGTCGATGCATGGGGGGCGGTAAACGGGTGTTGGGAGACGTGCGCTTTTCGTGCCCCTCTTTGGCACCAGGGGGCCCCTCTGCCCCTGTTGGGCACAGAAGATGCACCTGTGTCGGCAGCCGCTGGTTTCGCCCGGGGCTGGTTTCGCCAGGGCTGGTTTCGCCCGGCCCTGGTTTGGCCCGGGCTGGTTTCGCCCGACGCTGGTTTCGCCCGGACTGGTTTCGCCCGGCTGCTTTCGCCTGGCTGCTTTCGCCCAGCTGCTGGAGGAGGTGCAGGAGGAGGAGGAGGAGGAGGAGGAGGAGGAGGAGGAGGGAGGGAGGAGGAGGAGGAGGGGAGGAGGAGAGGAGGAGGAGGAGGAGGAGGAGAATGACGAGGATGATGGGGGGAGGAGGAGGAGGAGGAGGAGGGAGGAGGAGGAGGAGGGAGGAGGAGGAGGAGGAGGAGAGGAGGAGGAGGAGGAGGAGGAGGAGGAGGAGGAGGAGGAGGAGAGGAGGAGGAGAGGAGGAGGAGGAGGAGGAGGAGGAGGAGGAGGGGGCAGGACGAGGAGGAGGAGGAAGAGGAGGAGGAGGAGGAGGGGGTGGTGGAGGTGGGGGAGGAGGAGGTGGAGGTGAAGGTGGAGGAGGTGGCTGAGGGAGGGCAGGACGGAGGGAGCAGGGCAGAGGGTTAGGGCCGCCGAAACCGACCCGAACCGACCGTCCCGATAGGGTCCGCCCGACCCGACCCGACCCGACCGTTAGGGCTCTCGCGTGCCCACTCGATTATGCACCACACTTTAGTGTCCCGCCCGCCCGACCCGACCCGCCCGCTAGGGTCCGCCCGCCCGTTCCGACCCGACCCGCCCGATAGGGTCCGCCCAACCCGACCCGACCCGACCGTTAGGGCTCTGGCGTGCCCACTTGATTATACACCACACTTTAATGTCCCGCCCGCCCGACCCGACCCGCCCGTTGGGGTGCGCCCGCCTGTTCCGACCCGACCCGCCAATTAGGGTCCGCCCGACCCGACCCGACCCGACCGTTAGGGTCCTCGCCTCGAGAACTCTCGGGGTCTCTCGCATGCCTCTGCGAGAGGAGGAGGAGCACGAGGAGGAGGAGGAGGACGACGAGCAGGGGGAGGAGGAGGAGGAGGAGGAGGAGGAGGAGGAGGAGGAGGAGGAGGAGGAGGAGGAGGGAGGACGAGGAGGAGGAGAAAGAGGAAAAGGAAGAGGAGGGCCAGGAGGAACAGGCGGGGAGGAGGAGGAGGAGGAGGAGGAGGAGGAGAAGGAGGAGCGAAAAGGGAGAGGAGGACGAGGAGGAGGAGGAGGACGACGACGGCGACCGCGACGACGACAACGACCGCGGCGGCAGCAGACTCGGCGAGACCAGCCCCGGCGAAACCAGCGGGGCGAAACCAGCGGGGCGAAACCAGCGCCGGCGAAACCAGCGTCGGGCGAAACCAACCCTGGCGAAACCAGGGCCGGGCGAAACCAGCCCCGGCGAAACCAGCCCCGGCGAAACGAGTCCGTGTCTAACCTCCCCATTTATCGCAACCCCCTTACCCGACGCCCGACAGAGGCCCAGACCGCACCGAGCGGGAAGAGAAAGAAAAAACGACGGGGGGGTGCTTGGCCGTTTTCGGCCTCCGGAAGCCCTCGCTGGTCCTCGGGTGGGTGGTGACATCCGAACCCTACCCCCACCAACCATCGGTTCTCCCGTATCGATGCGAAGCGGGGATCAGATTCGGACTTCGCCACGTGTTCGACGGATTCCGAACACTATCCCCGCCGCCCATCGAGTTGCATCGGATGTCGCCGTCGATCGGGATCGCCAAACAACGACTCGGGATGGCAAGCTGGTCCAAGACACGGCGTCGAGACCTCCTGGGGTCCACGTCACAAAAAGTCACGACGCACAAAGGAGGAGGAGGAGGAGGAGGAGAAGGAGGAGGAGGAGGAGGAGCAGGAGGAGAAGGAGGGGGAGGCGGAGGAGGTGGGGGAGAGAGGAGGACGTGGGGGAAGGAGGAGGAGGAAGCGAGACGCCGAGGCCGGAACGAGCCGGAACCGCACGACTACAAGAGACCGCATCAGCGGTGAGGTGCACGGCATAAACAAGTGTATACGAGGGGAAGGACGGGGTCATCATTTTTGTGCCCGATGGCGCAGGTTTGACCGAGCCTGGCCACGGGCCGACAGGGCCCCCTCCAGAGGAAAGCTAAAAAACAGGTTCCAGGGACTTGCCAGTGCGAGGGCGAAGGCCCTGGGCAAAATCAGAGTGAGGGGGCTGAACCGAACGGTCATTCACCGTCCCTGGGCGCGTGGCTGAAGTGGAATTCCGCGATGCGGATTCTCGTTGTTGTTGTTGGTGGTGGTGGTGGTGTTGTTGTTGCTGTTGCTGTTGCTGTTGCTGTTGTTGTTGTTGTTGCTGATGTTATTGTTTGATGGCTGTTGTTTGTTGTTTGTTGATTGTTGTTTGTTGTGTGTTGTTTGTTGTGTGGTGTTTGTTGTTTGTTGGTTAGTGCTTGTTGTTTAGTGTTTGTTGTTGTCGTCGTCCCATCTGCGACCCGCCCCGCGACCCACCCGCGACCCACCCCGCGACCCACCCCGCGACCCACCCGCGACCCACCCCGCGACCCACCCGCGACCCATCCCGCGACCCACCGCGACCCACCTGCGACCCACCCGCGACACACCCCGCGACCCGCCCGCGACCCACCCCGCGACCCACCCGCGACCCACCCGCGACCCACCGGCAACCCACCCGCGACCCTCCCGCGACCCATCCCGCGACCCATCCCGCGACCCACCCGACCCACCCGCGATCCACCCGCGACCCACCGCCACCCACCCGCGACCCACCCGCCCCACCCCGCGGCAACCTAAACCGCGCCCGCGACCCACCCGCGACCCCCCGCGACCCACCCGCGACCCACCCCGCGACCCACCCAAAATTTTCGGCGCCTGCGGCGGGCTTCTTTTGTATTCGTTCCAGGTGGAGAACCTGCGACCCAAACCGCGTTCAGTGAACAAATCAAAATGTTCGGCGCCTGTGGCGGGCTGTTTTTGATTTTCCTCCAGGTGAAGGTGGAGAGCCCGCGACCCACCCGCGACCCAAATTACGTTCACTGAACAAGCCAAAACTTCGGCGCCTGCGGCGGGTTTGTTTTGCACTCGTTCCAGGTGGAGAACCTGCGACCCAAACCGCGTTCAGTGTACAAAATTAGAATGCTCGGCGCCTGCGGCGGGCTGTTTTTGCATTCGTTCCGGGTGGCACCCTGCGCGTCCTGTTAGGAGGAGGAGGAGGAAGAAAAGGAGGGAGAGGAAGAGGAGGTGGAGGAGGCGGAGGCGGACGACGACGACGATGAGGACGAGGACGCGGACGAGGAAGAGGAGGAGGAAGACCAGGAGGAGGAGGAGGAGGAGGAGGAGGAAGAAGGCGCCATCGACAGGGAAGGTGAGGGCCACGAGGTCCGCCGGCTCGACGCCCGCGTCGCCCGCGCCCGCGCCCTCACTCTTATCCGCAATTGCCGGGTGCGAAATACTTGACCTTCAAGGCCTGACTACTCTTGGTAGAAAGGTGTTCCGAACGGTCGTTGCATTTCGCACTGAGACCCCGCATATTACCTTCTAATAGACTCTGGTGCCCAAGAGTCCTAAACCTCTCTTGCAATATGGAAGCGGGGGGGCGTCTCAGCCTCAGGCGTGGGCCCCATAACCTCGGCGGCAGCGCACTTGGCCAGAGACGCCCCCCTGGACGAGCGGGATGGGATCCTCATCCCTGTCCGCAAACACAAGACGAGCCTGCCATCTCTGGTACGCTGACGGACCGCACACCTTCCTGCTGCCTGCCGTTCGCTGGGCGAGGGAGGCGGGAGTGGTGGCGTACAGGTTACACGCACACACTGCATCGCGACTCACCTCGACTTGGAAAATGGAACAGAGTGCGTTGCGTAAGGGCAAGCAGGTCCTTAAAGACCTTCCTGTGAGCAACGCCCGCAACGGGCCCAGACGAGGTCGAGGATTCCAGAGCCAACGCAGCGATCGACTGAGAGAACCTGGCCAGGAAATCAAACCCGAGACGCGCTGACTTCATGTAAGCAGACTGGTGCTCAGAAAGATTGTTCGCGACGTCGTGGGATTCTGGCCCCGGCCGGCGAAAACAAACAACCCATAGGTTGCAGAGAAAACCCGCTATCCCACAGGCCGTCGCCCCAATTGCGGCGGGAAGGGGTCTATTTGAAGCTACGGCAGATGGCAACGTCACCATATAGCGAGAACGCCCTACGCCAGTCGAAAGCATGCTGGGCCCCACTCGAGGCCAGCTGAACATCCCAAGACTCACACTCCTTGACGGCACAGAGGTGGCCCGAAACAACCCGAGCATCAAAGGAGCCAACTCGAAACGCCTGGTAGATAGCAAACCTCTCGGCCCGCAGCACCGACTGGCGCCCGCCGGACGGCACGAACGGGGAACCCGCTAGGGGCCACATCCACCGCAGCCCATCCACACCTGCACAGATCGAGGCTAGACCCCGCCAGTCCCGAGCCATCGGCAAAGATGGCCCGCCCCCAGCACGCATCGATCGCCCCCCAGGAGCACGCAGGGAACACGCGGGGAACGGGTTCCACGCGGCACGGAACAAGCAGGAGCCCTCGCAGGATCTCACCAGAATCCCAAACCTGGACCCCATCCTCGAAACACCCCTTGTCCCTAAACTCCGACCAGCGCTCCAGGATGCCATCAGGGACATGGTCCTCGGACCTGAGATGATCGAAGACAGCCTCAATCATATTTCTGGCGGCCGAAGAACCCAAGAGCACTTGGCAAGCCGAATTGGCACCGATCATTCTCGGCGTAGCCTGCAGCGAACTTGCGAGTGGGCTGCCACATGGCGCCCCCGAACAGGCAGCGAAGAGCCCCTCGCCTCGCGGAGCCACGAATTCGGAGGACAGCGTTGAGCGCGCAGCGAAGCCATAGCTTAGCATTTGAATCAACGTCGGGGATGTGGGCAAGCCTTCTGCGAGCCCGCCGCCCCCTCTGGATACCAGCACGCAACCCTAAGTTAATGTCACGCGGGGCCCTCTGCGGCAGATCGAGGGCAACACCTTCGTTCGTGACTATGATGTAGGCTTGGCGACATCCGAACCCTACCCAAGGTCTTGAAGAAGAGGACAGCATAAGCATAAACTTTTGGCGCTCCGCGCGGATCGTGGATCCGCGCTGGACCCCCCCTACCTGGCGCGCGGAGCGCGCCAGGAGCGGCGCGGGAGGCGCCGCCAAGGGGCTCCAGCGCCGATCCGAGAAATCCGCGCGGACCTCCGAGTTATTATCTTTTTTTTCATGTTTCGTCTCCCTACGACACCCGAGCCCTGCCCCCAGGTCATCGCTCCCCCAATTACGCAACGCCCGATAGAACCGATCTCCACCCCTACCAGGGGAAGCCTTGGCACCGCTGGCCCCCCGTAGGTGGGAGCGGGTGCCGCCTCCTCCGGCCCCACGGCCTGCCCTGTCCCAGCACGGCGGGCCCCAGGCGTCCGAGGTCCGTGCGGCTTTCTCGGATCCGCGCTGACCTCCTTGGCGGCGCCCCGGCGCCGCATCTGGCGCGCTCCGCGCGCCAGGGAGGGGGGTCCAGCGCGGATCCGAGAAATCGGCGCCTCCGAATTGTTATGTTTACGTCATTCTTCGGCCCAACTTTTGACGGCCCTGGGCCCCGACAGCCATGCCCCAGAGGCCAAGATCGAGGCAGCACGCCCAGGCTGAAGCAGAACACATCGTCGGAGATCTGGAGCTGCTGGTTCCGACGAGGATGGCCTCCAGGAGCCAGATCTCCGACGATGTGTTTTCTCAGTCGGGGTGTCTTTTTCTGGATCTCGGCCCCCTTCGAAGAACAGTGCATGATAGCGACAACGTGTCGGAGCTCAGCCTGGATTTCTCGGATCAGCGCCGGGGCCCCCTCCTTGGCGCGGGGGGCGCGCCAAGGGCGGCGCTGGAGGCGCCGCGGGGCCCAGCGCCGATCCGCGAAATCCGCGCGGAGCTCCGACAACGATGGTTACGCATCATTCCTCGAATAAAAGGCCGAGATCCAGAAAAACGCACGTAACAAGGGGATATGTCGACCCCCATCCCAGGCTCTGGGAGATCTTAGAATGGACCAGAAATTTGGAGTCCTTTTTCTGAACGGCCAAACTTTTCGAGCGGAACTCAGGCAGTGGGGGAGAAAAATCGCCTGCGAGGATCAGCGCTGGAGGCGAAGAAGGATGAGGAAGAGGAGGAGGGCAAGGGCAAGGGCAAGGGCGAGGGGGAGGGCGAGAAGGAGGAGGAGGAGGAGGAGGAGGAGGAGATGTTGCCCCTGTTGGCTTTCGGGCCGCAGTTTGGGCCACTGGTGGCCGCTCGGGACGATCCTGGGCTTCCCCAGAGCGCTCTCTCGACGAGGCGCAGCCCCTGAAACAAGGCACACCGAGGCTGGAAGACCTCCAGGAACCGGCGAAAGCGCACGAGAACGCTGATGGTTCCGACGATCATGGCCTAGGGCCCGAGCCAAACAATGTCTGCCCTGTTCGTTTTGCATTCGTTCTTCCTTCCTTCTGTCTTCGTTCCGCCAACGCTGCAACACGGCATCAAGCCAAAGACGGTCCACGAAATCGCCAAAACACCGTTTGGCTCTAGCCGTGTAATGGCCCCTGACGCCCCCGGTCTCCTCTATCCTGCCGAAGGCCGCCCGCTGCCTCTCCAGCAGCCTTCCGGCGGCCTCGGTCGCAGCGCGGGCGCCGCTGCTCTCCCAGGCGGGGTCGTGGTGACCGGGGTCGTCGGAGTCGTGCGCCCCCGCACCCAAGGAGTCGGAGTCGCTGTCCGTCTCCTCCAGCAGGTCCAGCTGCTGATCGGCCTGCGGAGGGGGGGGGGGCTCGAAGTGCCCAGACCGCCCCCCCCCCTCCCCTCTGCGTCGTGAGAAAGACATGGCGGAAGCTTGTCTCATGACTTCGTCTCCCAGGGGCCCTTGCCGCGGGACCCCCCAAAGAACAACTCGGGATGAGAAGCTGGTCCTGGGAAAGTGGTCCAAGACCTCCGGGGGCCCTCGCCATCGAAAAACCACGTCGTCGGGGGTCGGGGCACCACGTGCTTTGGAAAGCTATGCAAGACGCTGGAGCGCCCATACGCACATCCCCTCCGCCGACTCTCTTGTCTCCTTGGGTGACCAGGCGACGTGGTGTATTCGCTGAGCCCCTCCGACCTGCTCCCCCTTGCAGAGCAATATGTTCTGGAGGTGCAGCTTCTGGGCAATCTGGACGCTCTGCCGCGCCAGGTTCTTGATGCGCTGCTTTCGCTCGAAGGCCTCGAAGCGGTCGTCGTTGATGATCTCCTGCGACGAGCGCGTGTCCATACGCCAGGGCGATCTGCTCTAAGATTGCAGTGCTGATGCGCCTCGGGTGAGCATGCAGCACAGAGCGCCGCAAGGGCGCAAGAGCTCGCCAGCAGCCCTCCTCAATTGCGCCCCGCCCCTCGAGCAAGAGTACGGACCTCATTCGTCTGTTCGTTTCGGTGGGCGGCTGGCAACACGACCAAGCCGGGCGGTCACCGAGGAACCAGGGCGCGGGTACGCTAAATAAGACCCAATTATTTCAGGCTTCCGCACGCGGTTCCGAAAAATCCGCTATGGCACCAGATCCCTTCGAGATCCCTGTATCGAGCTTGATGCTGCTCTCGAAGGGGCCCAGAGCCCCAGCTCACCAAAGTTTCTCGCGTAACGTTCGGGGCCTGGCGCGCAACTAGTCCGGAGGCCGAAGAACCCCAAGGCGGGCCAAGAGGGCCCCCGAAGGGTCGCAAGAGGGCACCAGGTCGGTCCCAGATGCCTCGAATGATCCCGAGCGCGCCCCAAGACGGCCCAAGAAGGCTTCACGACAAACCAAGAGACAAGACGCCTCAATATAGAGCTCGAACTTGACTCCGAAGAGGTCTCCAAGAGGCCAGGTTCATTGATTCCCTGAAGGTGTTTGCAAGATGCTTGTGTTCTAGCCTTTTTTTGCCTCCGACGCTCCAAGGTAGCCCAAGAGGCCCCCAAGACGTCGAAAGAAAGCCCCAAGACAACCCAGTCCGAGTCCAAAAGGGCCCCAAGAGAACTCCAAGATGGGGAAAGCGAAGGGATCCTGTGAGCCTTTTTCCCCAATCCTGCCCCCAAGAGCATCCAAGATTCCCGAGAGCCGCCTCTAAGAGGCTTCTAAGAGGCTTCTAAGAGGCCCCTGGGCAACATCCCAAAAGATCCACCAAGAGGCCTCCGGCCCACAACCCAAACACGGTGGCAGGGTCGGCCGAAAGCCCCTCAATCCTCCGCCCCCGTGTGGTCTCGCTTCATGGGTGCATGGCGTGCCAGACTTCTGGCAGGTCTTCGATTCTTTGCTTCAGAACTCCATCCGGGGCTTCGGCCCAACCCGCTGGCCAGCCCGAAGAACGCCCGCCCAACGACCCGCAAAAACCATAACAGATCTCCCCAATACTCTCCACGTGGCCTCCAAGATGGCCTCCAAGACGGCCAAGATGGCCCAAGACGGTGCCAAGGTGCCTCCAAGACCGCACAAGATGCACCCAAGTCGGCCTAAGACGGCCTCACGATGGCCCAAGACGGCCCAAGAAAGTCGCAAGTGGCCTCCAAGACGCCCAAGAGGACCCACAGGAAGGCCCGGAGGACCCAAAATCATTGATGCTCCTCTGGTGTTTGAGAGATGGTGGCTTTTGCTCCGTCTCGGGCTTCCGACGGCCCAAGACGGCCCAATAGGCCATCAATATCGCCCGAAGAGCGCCCAAAAGGCCTCTAAGATGGCCCCAGAACGGCCCAAAGGACTCCGAAAACGGCCCCAAAATGGCCCCAAGACCGCCCAGAAGGCCCAAAAGACGCCCGAGATGGCCTTCAACACGACCCTGAAGCGCCCCAAGACGGCCAAAGAAGCTCCCCAAACAGCTTCCGACGGCGACAGACGAGCCAGCAACGACGTAAGACAGCCAACGAGGGCCCCAAAAAGCCCCCCTAGGCCCCCAAGAGACCCAAAAAGGCCTCCAAAATGCCTCCAGGAGGCAGCCAGGAAGCCCCCAGAAGACCCCAAGAAAAGGAGCTCCCGAGAGGTCTCTTCATCTTGATCCTCATCGTAATTTTCCCTCCCTCTCCTCATCCTGCCCTTCCTCCCCCAAATGTTCTCCGAAGGGCTTCCACAACGGCTAGGGGAACGCATGATCCAATAGCGTGGCCAAGCTTTACCCAAACGTGTGGCCACAAAATTAGGCGCATCCTAAAAAAGAACATAGGCGGCGCTGATTCGCCGTAGGCGTCTTCGATCCACCGCCTTTTCTTGCTTGCCACAAAGGCGCTTGGCGTGTCAAGGTTCAGCATTTATCCCACTGGCCTCCGGCCCAACCCGCCACTCCGGCGGAAAATGTGTTCCCGTTCGATCTCCCACGCGGGGTGGCTCTATGAAGGCATCAAGCATTGCCAATGTGGTCGAGCATTGTCTCCAAGACGCCTCATCGATGGTCAACACAGGCCCCAACATTGCCCAAGACAGCCCAACTGGCTCCGGAGACACCCAAGATGCCTACAAGGCGACTTCCAATAGAACCCGGAGCTGGGAGCCAATTTCATGATTCGCGATAGCGCCCGTGACTGGCCCAACCGCCCGCCCCCGTAGTCACGTCACGACTCGCGTCGGCGTGGTTTGGGGATGCCTGGAAATCCGCCGATCCTGCGTGTGAGCTTCAAAGACCCGCAGAATAGCCTGGGCCTCAACTCCTAAGCTTCAGCTCTACTTGGTGGTGGGTGCCGGGGTGGCTCTGCCGGGGTATGGGGGGGGGTCGATCTAATTCCCGGGGTGGAATCGGAGCCCCAGCTCACTCCGGGACGGCCCCCTCGCCCAAGAGGGCCCCAACATGAACCGAGAGGGCCCCGAGTCGCCGAACGATCGCTACCAGACGCCCAAGATGTCCCCAAGACGGCTCCAGAAGCCTCCAAGATGCCCTCAGAAACCCTGAGAAGGCCTCCGAAAAAAAGGCCCAAAGAGGCAAAAATGCTCCATTCCCGATGGGAAACATACAAGTTGTGCATATTCGCCTCTTGGGCCTTCGGAGCGTCGCAGACGCCCCAAGAGAGCCCCAAAACGGCCCAACAAGCCGCCAAGAGGGCTCCAAAACGGCCCAAGAAAGGCCCAATATGGCCCAGGAGGCCCACGAAAAGGCCCAAGAGGGCCTTTAAGGACGGGCCCGACAGGCGCCTGAGAGGGCGCCAAGACGGCGGAAGAAATGCCGAAGCCGGCCCAAAAAGCCCCCAGCAGGCCCGCAGAGGCCCCCAAGAGGCCTGAAGAAGCCCCAAGACGTTTCCAACTGGACCCAAAGAGGCCCCCCGAAGCCCCCTAAAGTCCCCCAGGAGCATCAAACAATGCATCCAAGACGCCTTCTCGCCTTCTGGAAACCTCCAAGCTGCCTCCAAGACCCCCCCCCCCGAGAAGCCCAAAACCGGCCCCAATGCTTCCACGGCGCTTATGTCTGAACACAAGCGCTGCAATACACAAAGTTCTTCCACGCCTTCACGTCATCTCCCGTCTTCGTTGTCTTTACATCCATGATCTCACGATGGCCCGCAGAGGATCGCGCGAAGGCTCAAGAAACCCCAAACACACCATGATTCCCAACAGAGACCGGTGATGCACAAGACTCCTCAAATACCTGTGACGCAGACAATTCCAGCACAAAGTTTTTTTTTCAGAGAGTGTGCCAAATCGGCGAGGTGTCAACCCAAAGAGGGCCAACACCTGGCCAAAAAGAGGCTTTCTAACAACAGCCGAAAATCTCCAACAACCGCCGGAAATCTCCTCATCCTTGTCATGTTCCTCCTTCTCTTCCTCCTCCTGCTCCTCCTCATCCTAAGCATCCTGCTGTTCCTGCCCCTCCCCCCCCACCCCCCTCCACCTCATCGCGATTATGTTCCTCCTCCTCCTCCTCCTCCACTTCCTCCTCCTCCTCCACATCCTAATCCGTCGCCTTCATTCCCGATCATTCATCATCATCATCATCATCATCATCATCATCATCATCATCATCATCATCATCATCATCATCATCATCATCATCATCATCATCATCATCATCATCATCACCGCTCGCCGTCGTCGCAAGTCATGACCGCCATCGTGCGCTTCCGGCAGCAATGGAAGCGTCCCGGATCGGCGGCACTGGCCGGAGGACACTACAATAACCGAAGACAGTTCGGAAAACAGATACCTATGGATACACGCAGACCTGCAATGGTTAGTTAAGGATTGAAATACGCAACATAGGGCGTTGCTGATCATAGCATATGTTCAGAACATGTTGTTGTTCCTCTTTCCCTGTTCCTCCCTCATCCTGTTTCTCCCCATCGGTGTCGTTGTCCTCTTCCTCCTCCTCCTCCTCATGTTCCTCCTCCTCTTCCTCCTTCACCTTCGCCTCCGCCTCCTCCTCTGCATTGCGCGGTGGTTCACACAAGCGCAGAAGGAGGAAGCCGGGAGGCGGGAGGGGGCGAGGGAGACGGGGCCAGGCCCAAGCGACCTGCTTGATTGCACTTATGGTATCGGCTCGTGCTCTGGGTCTGTGCGCCCCTAGGCCCAAGGTGATGGGCAAATGTTCTACCACCGCTACCATATGTAGGACGGAGGAGAAGGGAGGATGAGGAGGCACTCCTCGTCCTACTCCTCCTCCTCCCCCATCCTCCTCCCCCTCCTCCTCCTCATCCTCCTCCTACCTACGGTAGCGGTGGTGGAAAATGGGCCCATTACAAAGTGGGGAGGGGCCAGATCCCCTTCATCTTTCTCGTGCTCCTCCTCTGGTCGCACTAGTCCTCCATATTGCGCTGCAGACGACTCACTGCGAACCAATGTGCGCACCCACCACAGTTGCCGCGGCAACATCTGCGTGCACCACACCGCTGGGGCGCACCGCAGGGCCTGGGGGCGTTTGGAGTGGCGTAAAAAACATGGAATACACGCGGGCCACTGATCAACACAACCTTACCCGAAGCGAGCGACATCCTTGTTCTCTAGATGATCGAATTACGGTCAGGAATCTCAAGCAAGGTGTTTGCGCAATCCGGGAAGCTGGAAACACACGTAGCTAGAATCGCATGCGTAGCATGGGGAGGCCAATTGCAGGATGCACGTGCGGAGGGCTGCCTTACTCAGTCACACGAGGGCCGAGCCCTGGAATGACATCGGCCACACGTGTATTCCGCTCTCGTCCAGACTGACCACGTCATGGGTATACAGCTTCTTGGTAAGAAGCACCCAGATAGCATGCCGCGTGTGAAATTGGGTTCAAGTGTCCCGACGAGGCAGTAACGCGAGGGAACAAGGTTGGAACCGGAAAGAC